ACCTACAACAGTAAAATCAGTCTGTATATGCAGTAAAGCATGCTTGTTATACTCACTGTGGAACCTACGGGGTTAATCATCCACATTGTATAAAAAGGCCATTTGATCCTTTTTTTCTCTCTGCTCCTCCCCTTCTTCTACTGTCCACAATCCACCTTCTGACAGCGCAGAGCCTCTGTAAAATCGCTATTTGATCCTAACTTCTCTGATCCTCCCCTTTTTCCAGTGCCTCCCGCTTATCTCCTGATAAGAAATATCTTGTGCAGTCACTCTGCACATGCTCCGTTTGGTGTGAATTGGTAGTTTTTTTTTCCTTTGGTAGAGTGCATGTGATCCGCACAGGGCCAATCAGCACTGTCCAGACAGAGGTCAGAGGTTATGCAGCCTCATAGGACAGTCAGAGCAGAATGAAAACTCCTCCTATATGCTTTAAATAGTGTTCAGCTAGACACTGGTAGAAGTCACAAGACTGCTATATACTGCTGATGAGAAAAGGTGTTTAGAAGTATATATTTACTAAAGTAATTGCACATCCATGTACCGTGGGAGACCAGATATAGTGATTGCAGGGTCCGAGGTTTAGTAACACCTTAAAATAAGGCATTCCACACCTTATTAATTGCTGTGACCTACACTTCATTTTTCCTTTGCTCCAGTTTATAGCAGATATCTAGGTGGGTTAGGCTCTGCCATTTTAATAATTTTGTTAAAATTGTTTTTTTGAAGTCTGATTTCTTTGTAAACCTGTAATATATCTTGTAAATACAATGCGTTTGTAATAAATCTGTTGTACAAGTGTGATGTAGCTACAATTATTGAATTGCTTTGCTACATCCTTTTCCAGGAGAATTACCAAGCCCCGTCCCTCTGCAACTAGCGTTTACCAAAATAAATGTAACCCCGCAAGAGCTTGTATGAACATTATGCATTGTGCCTACTCCTTTCTTTGTGCACCTACGGTATGTCTGCTGGTTCCTTGGCTATCATTAGTCTTGGTTTTAAAGTTTACATGACCCAATTTAAAGCTTGACGTCCAGTCCAGTCCCACAGTATCTCACCACTTTTTGAAGACATAACACAATCTAAAAGTTTAAGTAGCACGTTCAGAGGAATATATAAATATATATAAGACATATATTCCAAAGACATGCTGGTAGGTTAATTGGATCCTGTCTATATTGTCCCCTGTATGTGTATGTATGAATGTGAGTTAGGGACCTTAGATTGTACACCCCTTGAGGGTTAGGGACTGATGTGAATGTACAATATATATGTAAAGCGCTGCGTAAATTGATGGCGCTATATAAGTACCTGAAATATATACAGTATTTTCTGGCGTATAAGACTACTTTTTATACTTACAAATATACCCCAAAAATTGTGGGTCATCTTATATGCGGGGTATAAAATGTGAACCTTGAGTTTGTTTGGGTCAAGCTGGCTGGATGTGTGGTAATACTGTACATACAGTATACCGTGCTGAGCCAAGCTGGCTCAAAACAAATGTCCCTATGACAGATTAATCTGTCAGCCCGCTGGATGTGCGGTATATACAGTATACTGCGCTGAGCCAAGCGGTTTCAAAACGTACCGGTACGTCCCTACTGTAATCAGCCCGCTGGATACGTGTATGTACGGTAGCTGCGGCTACATACATTATACACTGGGCCAATCACGGCGAGTGATGTATTCTACTAATGACTACAAAGCCTGCTCGGATTGGCTGAGTCAGAGAGGTGGGCTGATGATGTCACAACCTCAGCCAATCCGAGCAGGCTTTTTATTCATTAGTAGAATACATGGCTCGCCATGATTGGCCCAGCGTATACCGTATGTAGCCTCAGCTACTGTACATACACACATCCAGCGGTCTGATTACCGTAGGGACGTACCAGTACGTTTTGAAACAGCTTGGTTCAGTATACTGTATATACTACAGTGGTATATACTCAGTATATACTGTATATACAGATTATTCTGTCATAGGGACATTTGTTTTGAGCCAGTTCGGCTCAGCACGGTATACCGTAAGTACATTACTGCACATCCAGCAGGCTGTATATATACTGTATACTGTATGTAGCTGAAGCTACCATATTACCGCACATCCAGCGGTAACCATCTGATTTGGAATTTGATCCATATGATGACTGTCTTACAAATGTATCACAAGATGTCATTCATGAACTTATGATGTCAGAGGATGAACATGAGGATTTTGAAGGATTTTAAGTACCGGTAAGTCATAACCATTTCAATTAAAAAAATTTAAAGTTTTTAAAAATGGTGTTGCCTCGAAGGGGGGTAGTCTTACACGGCGAGTATAGCCCAAAACCTATGTTTTAACTGGAAAATTAGGGGGTCGTCTTATACACCCAGTCGCCTTATACGCCGAAAAAATACGGTATATATATATATATATATATATATATATATATATATATATATATATATATATATACACACACACACCCTCTGAGTGAATGAAAACACCATAATAACTGATCTGTCTCACAAACTTTAAAGCCATTGGCAGGGTAAGCATACTAAACATGTTCACAGACTCCAAATCAAAAAAAAAGAAATAAATATTTGCAATTTTATTATGTTAGTATATACTACAGAATAGTATTCTGTATTTAAAAGGATACAGTATAAAATCTAATTTTATTCACAGGGCACTTTTTAGCACAGTTTACTCTTTTAAACTACAGGTGCTACAGGTAAAAAATAAAATGTTCAACCAAATGTACCTCTCCATATTGAAAATGGTTAATTAATGAACAATATTTACATGTTAAATCATCAATTCAGCAAACTCACCTGAATTTTACAAATCTTCAAAAATGGCTGTGTAGAGCACAGAGAATGATGAGCCAGCAAGCAATATTTGACACTATCTAGATAGCATGAATTTTCAGCTTCAAGGATTAGATTTTACACAAAAAGACTGGCAAGGTTTACCAAGCAGCTTTTAGTTATATCAAACATCTGGGCAATGTTGCCACTTGCTTCTCTTCTCTTATAAATGTGCCCTCCTATGACAGCATGCACTGCTCAGTTGGCTCACTATCCTTTGACTGAGACTTTGGCCAAATGTTTACTAGACCTCAATCATGGAGAGAAAAAAAGTCCACTTTTAGAGGCATTTTCCATTTTTTATGCCTCTAGCATATCTCTTTTTTAGGCAGTGTCCATGCACATTGTTGGCTTAGATATGTATTTTAGAGGAGTATTCAGGGGCATAAAAAATGTATGGAATTTATATTAAATGGGCTCAGGCACCTGTGTGTAAGAGGCCCTACACTGATATTTCTGACAGAAAAATCCATTGTAGATGAGAATATTTTAATACACCTGTATGTATGCCCCCCTATACTGTGCAGCTAATGCGGCCAATCTCATTGGAAAGACAGAATTTCAGGAGGCAGACAATAAGTAGCTAATAAACCAGGCCACCATCATGATAAATCTATAGGTCATTCCCATTTATTTTGTTCACAAAAGGAAAATATACAGCTCTTTTGATAATTCTCTTGAGGTGGATGCAGAGAAAATAAATGATGAGAAGAGTAAGAGCAGTTCACCCAAACTTGACAGAGATAGTGTTTTATCCTCTGATAAGTGTTTACTGTCATCTGGGAGCCCAGCAGAACTAAAGACCTAGCTTAGGATTGAAGTGTGCCCCATTCCAGAGAAAGCAGATGCCATTTTTAGCATTGTACTCTAGTCTTATCAATACATAATCAGCAGTAGGGACACATTTGTAAACAATGGTATTCAGTGACTCAGACACCCAGGTTTTAGTGTAGTCAGAACATTTGATTGGTCTGTACGATCTAACAAAACTTCACTCTCTATAACCTGCTGCTAATTATCTGACCAGTCAAATGTATGTTTGAACAAATTATTAGAATTTGAACATAGGATAACTTAGCGTGAAGTTGCATGAAGCACATCTCGGCCTCAACTATTATAAAACAGTTTTGTCACTTGAACTAAAAATCAAAAACATATTCAGAAAGGGCAGAGACAAACTAGGAAAAAAGGCAAGCTATGTGTATCCAGTGCATGTATAAAAACTACAAGCTGGGAAAAGGCTACAGTAACAAGAACATAATGGAACAGAGTATCCTGAAGCACCCTGGTAAATCAAAAACTCGTTTTGAATCTCAAACCAGTCTATGGTTTCATTTACACTAATTATGTGGCTTTCAAATGCTAACTATAGCATGAAAACCACATCAGCACTTCATGCACCTGGCTTCGTTAAGCTGCTGCTATATTCACTTTAAAAAGCAGTTTGACTTAAAGGAAATCTGCAAGAAAACCAAAAGGGACGCTGCCATACTTTACTTCTGAAAATGCTACTTGCCTGGCTATTATACTGGCACAATAGCTTTGATACCTTCTGAAGCACTGACTTGAAAAGTGATGAAGTCAGAGACAGCCAGGCAGCTAGCATTTCCAGAGGTGTTCAGCAATGGCAGCCTTCTTATATGTCTTGGTACAGATTTCCTTGAACGAGTCATAGCTCCTCAATTTACTATAGCTAGGAGGTAGTGAAACCACAGTTTCAGGCTCATTGCTGACTGCACTATAGTGGAACAAGCGTGTAATGTATCCCTATTTGGCAGTTGCATGAAGAGAAAGCACCATCAAGTTTGGCTTCTTCAGAGGTTTGGACACTCACTTGCATGACCATATGAAGAAAAGAACTGACCTGAAAAGGACCAAATGAAAAAAGAACAAGGTCCTGACTGCTATATTTCAATGGGTTCCTGCTAGTCAGCAAAAATACTTTTCATGCTTTATATTGGTTGTATATAGAAGAAACACTTATTCACAGGAGCACGAGTTTAAACTGAGCAACTACATTTCTAGAACCATGTATAATGGACAAGTATCTGGTGTGAGGGCCATGTTATGTCACAATTAAGTAGCCACAGTACTAGATAAATGCCCATATACTGAATGCAGGTAGTAACCACTTAATTCCGTTATATAGCAATATAAAGGGTTATAGGACAGTGGTCACTTCCTAGAGCTTTGCTCCTGATCTTACTATCACACAAGGCTGGCTGCAAGGCTTTTGACAGGACAAAATAATCCAATCTCCAGCCAACATTCTTGGCCCGAGCATTCATCATGTAGGTCCAGAAGGTGTAGGCATATGGCTTGTCAGGATACAGCTCACGGAAGCTGTCCAGGAAGCCTTCAGCCAACAGAGCTCCAAATCCCTCCCGTTCCTGTGGGGTGAAACCAGGGGTCTTCTTGTTAGTTTTGGGATTTTTTAGATCAATCTCTTGGTGAGCAACATTTAAGTCGCCACACAAAATAAGTGGCTTTTTGCTGTCCAATCCTTTTAAGTAACCACGAAAGTCTACATCCCACCGTTGACGGTAATCTAGGCGTACCAGGCCACGACTGGCATTGGGAACGTAAGCAGCAACCAGGTAAAAGGACTCATACTCGGCAGTAATTACACGGCCCTCCTTGTCATGTTCTTCAATTCCTAATGAAACAAAGCACAAAAGACAAGCACAAAACTTTAAAAGCTGTCTTAACCTAAACAAATATGCCTATTTTACAGTGAGGGCAAAAACACACACACACAAAAAAAAAAATCTTAATTCTCTTAAGTACATTTTTTATTTATTTAGGATTAGTGAGGTTACAAATCAATATGAAAAATTGCATACGATTATTTTGCGTTTTCCTTTCTAGCACACAGGTAAAAAACAAAACAAAACAAAAAAAGCAAAAAAAAAAAAAACAAAAAAAAAACTCCTTATCACATTTACTTTTCTATTCTTAAGTTGGCTATACACTGATCAAATTTAGGCCAGTTCCGGATGAACTGGATGCAATTTGCACTGTGTTAGGCCCTGTCATCACCCTCCTGCCCAACATCTTTTCACTGAAAAATCAAAGGAGCCAGATGGAAAACCATTGGGTGAACTATTTGGCTATTCTGACAGGCAACAGATGTCAGAATACAATAGCTGTGCTGCACAGTGTGGATTCAGGAATTTGTTAGATTTTTTTTTTGTTTAAACCGTAAGCTTAACAAAAAGTATTTAAAAATGTAGAGCCAGCTTTAGTTCCTGTGTTACAAACATTTTGAGTGTTCTAGCAACATGCTTTTTGCACCTTTTACTTACCGCATGGAATTTTTGGTGTATGATCATTATAACAACACGCCACTAGGTACTTTATGATTAATGCACTGAGTTTTTGGTGTATGAGGATTATTGTGTTTAGATTCATTTATTGTTCACATGTTTATTCTAATTTGAATTGTGCATCACTCACAATTATTGAATTAGCTGTCTTTTAGTACTGCACTTTTTTGCTATTTTAGTTATTTATTGTGTTTCCAAAATTGTGTGAGCTTTTTGCTTCAATGTTTTATTGTTATACCACAAGCACAGTTTTGTTATTTTGTGTTACAAACACATCTGAATGAATCTGACCATTGACTCGTTCTTCCCCATGCTATGCTCAGACCAGCACACACAGCTTTTCACTCTGCTTTATTAAAAAAAAAAAAAAAAAATTCTCCATGACAACAGTTTAATGGACATGATCTCTGTATTACACAGGTCTTGACCACCAGTTAAAAAAAACTTTATAAACAAAAATAAAATAACATTTATCCCAAACCACTGAAGTTTCTCTTAAAGCGGTTAGTAAACTGCAAAAAAAAAAAAAATAAATTTGCCCCTGTATGATAATGTCATAAAGTGCTAGTACGTGTCACATACTATTATTATTATGCAGGATTTATATAATGCCAACATTAGAGACTTCCCTTAAAACAAAGCTCTCCAGCGGCACGTTGTCACTGCTGACAGGGCTTTCATCTGAAACCGGTTTTCCTTTTAGGTTCACAGGCTCTGGCCATTTGAATGGCTCAGCCATGACACCATTCCTGCAAATGTGCATGGGAGGAACAGCATGCCATCTATTAAGGGAGCAGTGCATATGCACCAGTAACGTCACTGGCTGCTACTAAAGTCAATATCTCCAAGGAGCAGGGCCCTCCTATCCCTCTTGTATTGAACTGTATTGTTGCTGTATTGTCTCCTGTTATATTGTAAAGTGCTGAGCAAACTGTTGGCGCTATATAAATCCTGTATAATAATAATAATATCTCCTAAATGGTACACGATCAGGAGATATTACAGACTTACCTGTAGGTATAAACAAAAAGTGGACTTTTCTACCACTTTAAAATCTTTTTTTAAACTACACACTACATATAAATTCCACTGTGAAGAAATGTAAATATTTCACATACCAATGCCATAGGAGACATTTAGAGGTTTCTTCTTGCTCAGCATGGCCACTCCACTATAGCCCTCCTTTTCATCAGAACAAGCCCAATATTTGTGAGGGTACTCAGGCATGTCTTTAATTTCTGCAGGAAGGGATTTTTCTGCACACTTTGTCTCCTGCAGGCACAGGACATCAGGATCCTCCTCTCGTACCCACTATAAAAAAAAAAAAGTTTTTACTCTGTTATAAGAAATACACTATGGAGATACTACATTTAAAACATTTGAATAAACACAGTCCATTGTCAAATATTCAATGTTTAACACCAATTTCACTAACGTTAAAGAATACGGTCACTTTGCCCATTCAGAGCAAATTGAGTCAGCGTCTTTGCAAAGAAGCCCTTTTGCAAGTCCTGCTCTGTCACAGTGAGTGACGATATCTGATATTTTTGCTTCCGGGGGAATATGTGACAGCGCTGGGGTCTAGCAGCCAATTGCTAGAGCCACACGCTGTCACATGGCTGAGGGAGAACATCACTGCTTCCCCTAGCTTCTGACATGAGCCAGCATTGGGAGTTTAAGTAAGGTTGTCACAGAGAAAGGAGCAGTGGGGAGCCCTGGCAAAGTATCCCTGGGTCTTACTTTTCTTGCCGTTTTGTTCTAGTATATATCAGAAGTGTGTCAGTCTTCCAAGGAACCTGTCAGCTTCTAAATTTTTATCATGATGGGTTTTCCTGTATAGTAAACCAGGAAGCCTGAGATTCCTGTGGAAATTCTGGCTTGCTGGTTAAGCTGAAAATGCACATGTTCCCATTATGCAGGCAGCAAGCAAAACACTATGGGTAGTAGGGAGATTGTTGTCCTGCACCCAATCATACTGGGAATTTTTCTCATAAATGACAATTTTCAGTAACTTTTGTATCCTTTTTATTTATCAATGTCAGGTGTATGTCCTATATTGGCTTTGTCTTAAAGAAAAAAAAAACCCTTTTTAACCACTTCCCATCCGCCTGCTGTTTATAAACGGCAGGACGGTGGCACTCCAGGGGTGAGTTGCCATTCATAAACAGCACCCGCATTTTCTAGCTGTGCGTGCTCCCTGGGAACGTGCAGCACCGCAATCCGGTGCCTGCTGTGGCCTCTGGACACAGTGGAACACCGATCGTCAGACGGGACCTCTGTGCGAGGTCCCGATCATGTGTCCCGTTGGCCATCAGTGATCACATGCGTAGTAAGCCACTTGTGACATCATTGTGATCACATGCAGAGGTACATGGTACAAGTAAGCAAGATGTCACAAGCTGTGCCAATCAGAGAGTTCTCAATGGCTGCAAGAATGAAGCCAGAGAGAATGATTGCGTTTACAGCCTTTATGGGTGTAAAAGAAATCAGTGTAAAAAAAAAAAAAATCTTCATCACCCCCCACAAGTAGGACAGTGTCACCATGGTGACGCTGTACTGCTAGGGTGACAGTATGTAAAAAAACCCCAAAAATTAATATAAAAAAATACAAAAAAAAAATGTAAAAAAAAAAAGTTTATATAATTTTTGCTTATAAACTAATTTGGGTTCTTTTTTTTTTTTTTTACTAAAAAGATAAAGGAATAAATTTTGGCCAAGATTTATAATGAAATATTATTTATTTGCAAAATTGTATAAGAAAAACACTTTTTTTCTAAATTTTTGGACATTTTGATTTACATAGCAAAAAAAATAAAAATCCCAGTGGTGAATAAATACCACCAAAAAAAAAAAAAGCTTTATCTGTCTGAAAAAAATGCTAAAAAATTCATATGGGTACAGTGTTGCGTGACCGCACAATTGTCATTCAAAGTGTGATAGTGCTGAAAGCTGAAAATTGGCCTGGACAGGAAGGGGGTGAAAGTGTGCAGACTTGAAGTGATTAACCACTTGCCTACAGCGCACTTATACCCCCTTACTGCCCAGCCCAGTTTTCAGCACTTTCGCACTTTGAATGACAGTTGCACGGTCATGCAACACTGTACCCATATGAAATTTTTATAATTTTTTTTTGAGACAGATAGAGCTTTTTTTATGGTGGCATTTAATCACATCTGGGTTTTTTATTTTCTGCTAAACAAACCAAAAACAACTGAAAATTTTTGAAAAAAAAAAAAAGTTTCTTAGTTTTCGTTATAAAATTTTGTAAATAAGTGAGGCTGCAGTGATGGGCACTGATAGGCTACACTGATGAGGAGGCATTAGTAGGTGGCACTGATGGGCATTGACAGGCATCACTGATGGGCACTGAAAGGCAGCACTCATATATGGCACTGTTAGGCGGCACTGATGCACACTGATAGGCGGCACTGATAGGCAGCACTGCTAGGTGGACTGGCATTGATAGGTGGCACTGAAAGGCAGCTCAGATGGGCACTGATATGTGGCATTGATGTGCACTGGTAGGCACTGATATGTGGCATTGATGAGGCACTGATGGGCAGGTGGCAGGTGATTGATGAATACTGACAGCTGGAATTGATGGGCACTGACAGCTGGCACTGCTGGGGCTATACTGATCATCAATGCCCTGATGATCAGTGTACATGTCCCCTCTGAGGAATGCCGATTACCGGCTCTCCTCTCCTCTAGAGCTGTCAGCGTGACAGCTGGTGAGCAGAGAATGCCGATAACCGGCATTTCCCTAATTACATGCGATCAGCTGTGATTGGACACAGCTGATCACATGACCGAGCCGACCTCTTCGGCTCTTTCCGTTGATCGGTGATCCGCTGTGTCCGAGGGACACAGTGCACCACCGATCACCGTGCTGCGTGCTCCCAGAGCTACGCTTGTGTGGTTTAGAGTGGGAGGACGTCTAATGATGTCCTCCCAGAACGAGAGAACCGCCTTGCGCTCATCATTACCTTATATGGCGGGCGGGAGGCGGTTAAAGAAAAGGTATTATATTTACCTGTCCTGCTGCCCATGCCTATGGACATTTGCTGTTTTGAAGAGCTATACCAACCACTTAATCTTCTGTATCTGGAAATTATGAGTGTTGTATGTCTGGTACCCTGCTGATGCTGTGGTTCCAATGATTGGCTGCTAAGTCACTACAGGCCACTATGGTAATGAAGCAGTCAGCAGGTAGGACCACAGTATGCAACGAGGAAACAAGCATCCAACACACCTGGGAGTGTGTAATGCTGCAGATCCTTTGCTTGGTGTAACTCTTGCAGAGAAGGAAGTCCTAGGCAAGGGTGGCAAGACATGCAAGTATAATACTTTTTTTTTTTTTTTTTTTTTTTTTTCCTGTGAATGGATAATTTGAATATGAGAGACTGCTTTCTAATTCTCCACCTTGCTATGTACAGTAGCTACAAAGAGATACTCACATTTACACCTTCTTTTTTGACCCATGCTCTGATGCCATCAACATTCCATGAGCTTATCTTCCATGTGTACTTCTTGCCATCATCAGAAGTCAAATTATCAGGAGCATCCTCATACACTGGAACAGGTTCTGCATCCTTTCCTCCTCCCTTCTTCCCTTTCTTGTTCTCTGGTTCTAAAAGGCATACATGGATATGATGAAAAATGAAGACAATTCCCTGTCGTGTTGTACATGGCCATCATTGTACGTACCCTCATCCTGCACAGCTTCACTCTTGGCATCTTCCTTCTTCCCACGTTTTGGCATTCTGGTGGTGACAGAAAACAGACGCACACAAAACAGAGCACGGATCGTCTTGAATGCTCTACCTGCATACACAACGGAAAAATGTCAACCCAACTTCTATGTCTCCTCTCAGCAAGCAGCCAAATATAACCACCATAAGTAGCAGTATTTTTAAAGCCCATCTCCAAGAAAAGGAAAAACCCTCCCTTAATGTGGAGCTACCCCAATGCTGCATGAGTTAAATATTTATTTAGGTCTAGGGGCACAAAAAGCAGTTTTACTTACTTGACCCTCCACTCATCACCTGCGTGTTTTGATAATGGCACCCAAACATGCATCTTGCCGTGATTTGGAATCGCTGCGATTTTACCAACAATTCCAAATTTCTCAATGTGAACAGGGCCTTAATGATGTCTGAAGAGGCCTAACGCATGAACAGAATTTTTTTTTTCCTTTTTTAACCACTTGATGATCAGCAACATACCCGTATGTCACTGGATTTCAAGTGGTTATACCAGTATGATGCTTGCAGTTGCAGGCATAATCTCAGAATTATTTTTTTTTTTAGACCTGATGGTCAGCTTTCTTGTAAAAGCAATCCTAGAAGCTAATTAGCCACTGGATTGCTCTTGCAAGTAGTGGGAGGGGACATCCCCCCTCCCGTGGCTCTCTCGGGGTCTCCTGTCCCACTGGGAAACCTGAGTGACCAGCTGGCAATTTCAAGGTAATCAGAAACTGGAATAGTTTTAAGCAACTCTATGGTACATGAAACCTAAAGTAATGAGCATTCATTGACCAGGTGTAAACAGCGCCATTTTTAAATTGGGAAAGCATCTGATCACACCGATTGGTGTGATCAGATGCTGCTAAGGGCAGGAGAGATATGGGGTCTAATAGACCCCAGATCTCTCAGTAGAGAGTACCTGTCACTGCCTATTGCTATCACAGGGGATATTTATATTCCCCCTGATAACAATAAAAGTGCTAAAAAAAATTAAAAGCGACAGTGTAAAAATATTAAATAATTAGAAAAAAAGTGTATCGCCCTCGTGCTTGCATGCAAAGACAAATGACAGCGATCATCCCACACATGTAAGGTACCTCTGTGAATGTCAGATCATGGGCAGTAATTCTAGCACCAGTCTTCCTCTGTAAATCTAAATTTGTGACCTGTAAAGGCTTTTAAAGCATCGCCTATGGATAATAAAATGAATGTGGTTTTATTGCCGAATGGGTGTCTGCAATTTTAACCACTAGTCCGCCGCCCCATAGCAGATATACTGCTACAGGGCAGCTTCACTGGGCAAAATCACGTGAATATATGTGATTTTGCATTTCCGGTATGGGGCGCATACGCACCCCTACTCGCGATATTTGCTACTGATGTCAATCACCGGGTCCTGGCCGGCAATTTTTGACCGGGACTCGGTGATCGTCGGAGAAGCTGAGAGGGGAGAGATCTCTGTGTAAACATCATAGATCTCTCTCCTGTCAGCATGACATGCTGCTTTCTATCCCTCTGCACAGCAGAGAAATGGAAAACAGCAGGTCTGCTTAGTAAAACACAACACAGTACATAATAAAATCTCTCCCTAACACACAGTTAACCCTTTGATCACCCCAGATGTTAACCCCTTCCTGCCCAGTGTCATTAGTACAGCGTCAGTGCTTTTTATTAGCACTGATCACTATACTAGTATCGCTGGTGATGTCAATGACAGTCAGTTCCCACCCAGTGTCAGAATGCCCTCCGCAGTCCCGATATAAGTCACTGATTGCCACCATTACTATAAAAGAAAATCCAGATATATACACCACCATTTGTAGATGTTATAACTTTCACGTAAACCAATCAATGTACACTTATTGGGATTTTTTTAGCAATGACATGTAGCAGAATACATTTAGCCTAAATTTGTGACAAAATTTTTATTTTTTATTGGATAAGTTGTATTGCAAAATATTTTTTTCTAAACTGTCAGTGTTTTTTTTTTTGCTTATAGTGCAAAAAATAATGCAGAGGTGATCAAATACCACTGAAAGAATGCTCTATGTGTGGGGAATAAAATGACAAATTTAATTTATAGTGTTGCATGACCGCGCAATTGTCAGTTAAAGTAACAGCGCCGTATCGCAAAAAAAAATTGACTTTTTAGGAATTTGGGATAAATCTTCTGGAGGGTAAGTGGTTAAAAAGTGACATGCTTGGTATCCATTTAATGAGTGTAACATCATCCTACCGTTTACCAACCCATTGGGTATTATATTGTGTTTTTGTGCATTAAAATTCCTAAAAGTGTATAATTAAAAAATTACATAGGATGTTTGGTGGTTCAAAGTAATTATCTAGCAAACAATACAGATTTTTATATGGAAACAAAGCGTCAGAAAAGCACAGGTCTTAAAATGGTTACGGACTACAAATTGCCTAGTGACCATATCAACAATCACAACATTGTGTACTAAGGTTTCACCTCTCCCTAGGCCAGTTTAGAGATCCTATCCTGCCCTCAGCTAATACTGGAATCTTCTACTCTTCCAAACAGTCCATCCCCCACAGTTATTACCTTTTGTACCACTAGCCCCTCCCTCTTAGATTGTAAGCTCCAAGGATCAGGCCCTCCTTTCCCTCTTGTATTGAACTGTATTTTGCTGTATTGTCTCCCGTTATATTGTAAAGCACTGAGCAAACTGTTGGCGCTATATAAATCCTGTATAATAATAATAATAATCTGGGCCATGCACCATGTAAAACATATGAATAATAACTGGATCAGATTTTATAATGGATGTCTTGTCTTCTCTCTTTTTACCTTCCTCTCTCCATATATTAGGTCAGATCGGATATTCAGCATACATGTAAAGCATTGTTTTCATCTACTGTAGTGTCAGCCATTGTTTAGCCCATGTGGCTGCAGACAGCATGCAATGAACGTATGGCTGATCAGGCTGGAGTATGAGATTCCTCCACACCATACACCCCCACACAAGAACAGTGCGTGTATACATTATGTTTCCATAGCCGATCCCCTGTGCACCTACCGATCCCTGGTCCGGCTCTCCCTCTGCAACCCGATCACACACAACACAATAGACACCGGACCGGAAGCTCCACGCGCTGCAGACCGGAAACACGTAGGAGCACACACAACACAGACACGTGGGGATCAGCGCGCTGCTGGGTCACGTGACGTTCCAGCATCCAGACAGGAGGGGGCGGAGATGGGAAGAGAAGTTGCTGTACATGAGGACTGTTCACTGCCATAGGAGGAAGTCAGAGGAATAGAGAATGTGAGTGTGGATGGAGATAGGAGTGGACATACTGCTGCTATATATGAGGGAGGTCCCAGAGCATATAGAAGAGCTCCTGAGGCACAAGGGGATAGTGGGCATTAGAGCAGGCATGAGAGATGGTAGAGTACGCAAGGGGATAGTGGGCATTGGAGCAAGAGATGGTAGAGTACGCAAGGGGATAGTGGGCATTGGAGCAGGACATGAGATGGTAGAGTACGCAAGGGGATAGTGGGCATTGGAGCAGGACATGAGATGTGAGAGTACACAAGGGGATAGTGGGCATTGGAGCAAGACATGAGATGGTAGAGTACACAAGGGGATAGTGGGCATTGGAGCAGGACATGAGATGATAGTAGCATTGGACACACCTGGGATAGTGGGCATTGGAGCAGGACATGAGATGGTAGAGTACACAAGGGGATAGTGGGCATTGGAGCAGGACATGAGATGGTATAGCTTGTAGTACACAAGGGGATAGTGGGGCATTGGAGCAGGACATGAGATGGTAGAGTAGAGTACGCAAGGGGATAGTGGGCATTGGAGCAGGACATGAGATGGTAGAGTACACAAGGGGATAGTGGGCATTGGAGCAGGACATGAGATGGTAGAGTACGCAAGGGGATAGTGGGCATTGGAGCAAGACCTGAGATGATAGTGGGCATTGGAGCAAGACCTGAGATGATAGTGGGCATTGGAGCAGGACATGAGATGATAGAGTACGCAAGGGGATAGTGGGTTATTGGAGCAAGACCTGAGATGATAGTGGGCATTGGAGCAAGACCTGAGATGATAGTGGGCATTGGAGCAGGACCTGATGAGATGGTATTGAGCAAGACCTGAGATAGTGGGGCATTGGAGCAAGACCTGAGATGATAGTGGGCATTGGAGCAAGACCTGAGATGATAGTGGGCATTGGAGCAGGACATGAGATGATGTGGGCATTGGAGCAAGACAAGATGATAGTGGGCATTGGAGCAAGACTGAGATGATAGTGGGCATTGGAGCAAGACATGAGATGATAGTGGGCATTGGACGCAAGGGATGATAGTGGGCATTGGAGCAGGACATGAGATAATAGAGTACACGAGGGCTCATAGGAGAGCTGCTATCTCTTACTATATTAGGTCAAGTTGAGGCTTATCACGTGATTTTGCCTGAAATGTTCTGCTTACCTGATCCTCCGCTTCCTTAGTAAGTGGCACCCCCACATATTCCAGCATTAGACGGTCCCTCTTCGTTACATGTTCAGTGCAGGGCTATGGACCCTGCACTGGCCTGGATGACATCAGAAACCGTAGACCACTGGAGTGTGCGGGGAAGCCTGTGGGGATCAGTCTAGGAGCAGAGGGTAGGGTAAGTAAATCCTTTTGGCTGTACTTCTGTAAATCACAAGAGTGACCCGTTTTTATCTGACAGCAGGTTGAAGCCCTCTGCTGCTGATGTCACTCAGTTGGGCCAGGCTGGGGAAAGAACCTGATTTTTAAAATCGGGATCCACCCCAGAGTCTGGTGTGACACCTGGCTCAGCCTCTCAATCTCCCTGCCCCTCCATAGGCCAGCATTCCGGTGAGTGCTGGGGGGGGCAGAGCAGATGGCGGTTACTGCCAGTCACTATGCTGCTCAGAGCGGCTGTGAGAACTTAGCAGTAATCTGATTGAGGAGTCTGAACCTTATAGCCGATCGGCCCTAGTATGTGTATGTATGAATGTGAGTTAGGGACCTTAGACTGTACACCCCTTGAGGGTTAGGGACTGATGTGAATGTACAATATATATGTAAAGCGCTGCGTAAATGGGCGGCACTATACAAGTACCTGAAATAAATAAATATATATAAGCTTTACATTGGTGGCAGTGAAGCGGTTAAACCCTAGGACCTAAAAACTTGATTCATAAAATGTACTGAGCTGTTTTTATACTTGTCTTCTTTCTAGCAGTCACAATGACTATTGTGCTTGGATTTGAAGGCAGTGCCAACAAAATTGGTGTTGGGATTATTCAAGATGGAAAGGTTCTCAGCAACCCAAGAAGAACCTATATAACACCTCCAGGGCAAGGTGAGATTGTAATTGAGAAGCCTTGGATTTGAATGCAGCTGTGATTGCAAGGTATTTTACTGTGGTTTTTAGCTGCATGTTTTAGGTTAGAGCAATATTATGACAATTAAAACTCAGGTAGTGACCAAAGTGCACCAGAAGCTTTATATTTGTGGATGCCCTCTCTGCTACAACCCTCACATTTTAAATTAATAGTGACCTAGTGGGCTTTTACCCCTTGTCGCCCTTTTTAGCTTTGTAATATACAAGTGGGGTCCTGACAGGCTGATGCGAGTATTTAGGAAAATATTTCTATACCTTCTTGCAATGTGTTTTCCCCTACAAACAAGTCCTATTTGGATAGGGGATTGAAACCTCCTTTCCATTTGCCCTGTTATTGTAAAGTCCTGTGCTGGCCAGTGAAGAGGTATGCTATGTGTCAGTGTATTAGTTCTAACTGGAGGAAGGGAAAATAATGCTAGATACTTCTACCACACTGCAGGTTTCCTTCCTAGTGACACTGCTCGTCATCATCGCTCCTGTATACTGGAAGTGCTACATGAAGCTCTAGAGGAAGCACAGATACAACCAAAGGATATAGACTGTGTGGCTTACACAAAAGGTATGACCAAATAGAAAAATAAGGGTATGTTAAAGTGTTACTAAACCCACAACAGTAAAATCAGTCTGTATATGCAGTAAAGCATGCTTGTTATACTCACTGTGGAAGCGAAGGGGCTAATCCTTTGCATTGTGTAAAAAGGCTGTTTGATCCTGTCTCTTCTGATCCTCCCCTTCTACTGTCCCCAATCCATCTGATGCTAGAACAGAGCCCTAGGAGTCACTCTGCATATGCTCAGTTTGGCATGTTGGCATGTGTTTTTTCCATTTGTCAAGAAAGGGCTGATTGGCCCTGTTTTGATTACATGCACCCTCCCAGAGGGTCAGGGGTCATGCAGCCTCATAGGACAGTCAGCAGAATGAAAACTCCTACAAGCTTTAACCAATGCTGTGCTGGACACTGATAGAAGTCACAAAACTGCTCTATACTGCTGATGAGAAAAGGTATTTATCAGTTTATATTTACCACAATAATTGCATTGCAATGTTCTGTGTACTGTGGGAGATCAGATAAAGTGAATACAGGGTCCTGGGTTTGGTAACACTTTAAACCCTAAGAAATCCTCCAATGTGGTAAGAATGGCCATAGATGAGATTTTCTGCTGATTCAAAGACTTTTAGCTCAAATGTAAACAAAAATATCACCAATGAATGGAGTGTGAACAAATCTGTTGCCAGTTCCCAGCAGACTATCATTGGCCTAGCAAGGGCTTTGGTACATTGGAAAAGCTTGTTCAGTTTCATAAAGTGTTGCTGATTTGAAAGAAGAAAAAGAAAAAAAAAAAGCAGTGGTGACTATAGATTGCCTAGTGCTCCACTTTACTCCCTCACAGGCAGAGTATAGATCTTTCTATTATTGCACCAACTGATCATTCTTATCTGCAGATTTATCTTTTTTTTATATTTCTTTTTAAACTGTCACTGCCAATGTAGAGGGTACAATAACGCAACGCAAATCAGCAGGTAGGGACAGGAAAGTGATCCAATCTCACTGCTTACTTTAAAGGAAAAATCACTGTGAAGTAAAAACTTATTTTTGCAGGTAAAAAAAAAAAAAAATGCATTTATTGTTTGTTTTTTGGGGGGGGTTTTCGTACACACAAGCCTGTGAAGTATTGCATTCATGATCAGTGGATGACAGGTGCAGTGCCAGGCTCCTTCACACTCTCTCTCCAGCTTTCTGCCTGTACTTTAGCATGGGCTTTCAGTTAGAAAGCTGGAGAAAGAGTCAATGGACTACGATTGCACTGATCAGCGCATTCATAGTCCATTAAACTACAAGCCGTCTGCCGCTATGGAAGATGAGACTTGTAGTTTATTCACTCACAGATCCCTGCCGATTTTAAAGGTGATAGCTGTGGAGGAGAGAAACCTTGCTCTCTTTCACATGGAAAGGGGGTCTCAGCGGTTGAGGGAGATGTGCTACAACATGTGACATGTTCTAAAGGTAGACCTAACCTTTAAAGTGGCAGATATGTATCAGTTTCAAGCGTAGTTGAATAGAACCACAAATATGTCAGGTGAAACAGAACCACAGATATATCAGGTGAAAAAGCTATTAGAAACGCAGCAGCAGAACTAATGTAATGTGGATGGCCAGAGGTATTCCAGAACTACGGGAGTGCTATGCCCATCGCTGACATATCTGAGATGATATAGAAGGAATAGATTGGGAAGGTTTTATGCTTTAGACTCTTGTCCACTCCTAGGTTGTTATACTGACTGTATTTGGTCATGTCCAAGGTTCTGAATATTCTCTAAATAGAAATGAGACAAAATTAGTAAAATAAGAGCTGCTTTATTTATTTTGAGGTATTGTTCTGTTTTCGTGTTCTCAATGATCCTCTCTTTTTTTAGGACCTGGAATGGGAGCACCTTTGCTTTCGGTAGCAATAGTGGCACGCACAGTAGCACAGCTCTGGAATAAACCTCTGATAGGAGTAAATCATTGCATAGGCCATATTGAAATGGGGCGACTGATTACTGGTGCGGAAAACCCCACTGTTTTGTATGTGAGTGGAGGCAACACACAGGTAGAGTATTAGAAAAATGATCAGTACTTGAATTTTATATACCATTGGTGGAAACATTTGTGTACACACAAGTGAGCAAAAGGGAAACATGATGGAGTTAAGACCAAGGATAGCCAAGCTAATCATTTGTTATTGGGTATACAACGTTGACCAAAACGTGTACTGAACAGACAGTTTTGAATAGATGGGTAACATTAAACTCATGCAGGGCAAAGTAACAAGTTAAAGCCTTATTAAAAGAGAAGTGTGGACTTATTTTTTCTGATGCTGCTTCTGTCCCCCGCTGACTCTAAGTTTAAGAGAACTCAGCAATCACATGACCCCTGATCGCTGAGTTATTTCAGCTGCTCTGAGCAGAGAGCGGTGACTCTCGGTCACCACTGTCTGCTCTGCCCCCACTGTCTGCTGAAAACGGGTCACAGGAGTGTAGAACGAACTGCAATCTAGTGATCCACAGGAGAAGTACAGCCAAAAGAGCATTGGTTGTATTATATAATTGTATTATATTGCATCTTACCAGTTCTTAGATGGGATGGCTGTATTGGTTTTCTTTTTTAGGCTTTGTCTTTTCATTTGGTGATCCAGCCAGTAAGTCTGTTATTTTTTCAGAAGCAGAAGCTCTCTAGCAGAATGTATCAGTTTACATGCATGAGACAGACCATTTAGCACAGCAGGCGTTAAAATGATCAGCTTTTATTTATTCATATTACACCTTTATCCCAAAAGGAAAAAAATGTTTGCTGTTATTGATTATAAAGTGTTAATTGTGCCAGAAGATTTAAATACAGCTAACACTGCAGCCACCTTCCCCCCCAGACTGCCATTGCGGCTGTCTGCTGTGCCTCTTGCTTTCACTCCTCCAAAGTTGTCTCACTCTTACAGGAGATGTGTTACTGGCCAGATCACCAGGTGAAAAGAGAGGGGAAAATAAGCCAAAGAAAATCTAATGATTGGTAAGCTGCATTATATCACATTTATAGTTTGGGGTTTAATACCACTTCAATGTTAATTTTGACACCCACAGCTTCCCTTCATTTCACCATTCTAGTCAGCTGCTGGGATTGAAGAGAGAAAGTCCTGTGTAATACATTACATGGAGGTTTACACAAGCTGCAGGCCTAAATGGCCAGTCATCAAGCACCAGCACTGTCCCATGGGAAGAAGTCTCATAGACCCTTAATTTGCAAGAAGTGGGTATGTCACTTTGGGGAGAAGTAAAAGAAAACCACTTAAAACAGCTGAGAGTGCCATCCTTTAAGTGAAGCTCTAAGTCGAAAGCATACAGGTGGTGCAAACACCTATCGTATTATCCAAGGTTTATTAACCACATGCCGCCCAGCCACTGTATAAATACGGCGGCAGGGCAGCAAGGCTGGGCAAAACCACGTTTTAAAACGTGTGTTTTGTAAACAGGTAGGCGGCCCGCCGCCGCCCTACCTGCCCCGCCGATCACAGCCACGGATGTCAGTCGCCGGGTCACAGCCAGTCGTTACCGGCTATGTTCCGGCGATTAGCGGCAATCGCTGACAGAGAGCACAGCTGCAGTAGCTGTGCTTTCTGTCAGTTCCCTGACAGCTCCAGGACAAGCTGATCGGGACAGAAGAGTTTCTCTCTCTCGATCAGCCTTGTCCCATGCAGTACACACCCCTGCCCCCTAGTAAAACACTCCCCTCACACAGTTAACCCTTTCACTGAAAAATAAACTTAACCCCTTCCTCCCCAGTGCCATTAGTACAGTGTCAGTGGTTTTTTTTTTTTTTGCACTGATCACTGTATTTGTGTCACTGGGGATGTCAGTGACCCCAAGTCAGTACCCCCCAATGTCAGAATGTCCGCCGCAGTACCGCTATAAGTCACTGATCGCCGCCATAATTTTGCTGATCGCCGCCATTATTAGTATAAAAAAAAACTAAAAATCCCAGTATCTTTCCCGCCATTTGTAAAACGCTATAACTTTCACGTAAACCAATTAATTTACACGTATTGGGTTTTTTTTTTTTTAGCAAAGACATGTAACAGAATGCATTTTGGCAGAAATTTATGACTAAATTTGATTTTTACATTTTTTTTTTTTTTTTTTTTTACTGGACAGGTTTTATAGCAAAAAGTCCAAAATGTTTTTTTTTTTTTCCTCAAAATTGGCAGCCTTTTTTTTTTAGTGCAAAAAATAAAAACTGCACAGGCGATCAAATACCACCGAAAGAAAGCTCAATTTGTGGGGAAAAAAAGGACGTAAATTTCATTTATGTACTGTATTGCATGACCGCACAATTGTCCGTTAAACTAGCGCAGCGCTGTATAGCAAAAAAAATGGCGTAAATTGCAGTATTTATACCATAGTTTGTAGACGTTATAAACTTTCACACAAAGCAATCAATATACACTTATTGGGATTTTTTTACCAAAAACATGGAGCAGAATACATTTTGGCCTAAATTTATAACCAACTTTGAGTTTACTGTATATTTTTTTATAGTAAAAAAAATATTGTTTTTCTTCAAAATTTTTGGCCTTTTTTTGTTTATAGCGTGAAAAATAAAAAGCGCACAGGTGATCAAATACCACCGAAAGAAAGCTCTATTTGTGTGAAAAAAAGGACGTAAATTTCGTTTGGGTGCAGCATTGCATGACCGCGCAATTATCAGTTGAATTAGTGCAGCGCCCGAGTAGCAAAAAGAGGCCTGGTCATTAAGGGGGGTAAATGCTCTGGAGGTCAAGTGGTTCAAAAAATATAAAAGGACCAAAAACATACAAACAGTGCATATATAAAGCCTGCAAGGCCACAGAGATGGCCGCAATGATGGCAGTGTCCGACTGGTGGTAGGGTCGGCCATCGGACACGTTTCGGGGACATATCCCTTTCCTCAGAGCTGATCAATGATGGCTCTGAGGAAACGCGTCAGCTAGCCGATCGTACCACCTGTCGGACACTTTGCCATCAGTGCGGCCATCTCTGTGGCCTTACAGGCTTTATATATGCACTATGTTTGTTTTGTTCTTTTATACTTTTTAATAAACCTTTGGGTAATGCGCTTGGTGTTTGCGCCACCTGTATGCTTTCTTCCAGTTTGTTGATCTCCCCATCTGAGGAGGGCTGCAGCTCCTGATCTTTATCCATAGGTCGTCCACACACCTGATCCCCGGCCTCTCCCTGGTATTTTCTCCTTCAAGGCACTGGAGAGTTAACACTTCTGTCTGATTTAAGTGAAGCTCTACCTTGCCCTCCCCATGAAATACATATAGCCCTCCAAAAACCTCAGATCAGCAAGGCCTTATTTTAGTTCTTCTATGAGCCAGTGTTACTCTATGTGGCTTTTTTTCTATACCTTTTAATGGAGAAGGCCTTTCCTTTGCAAGCTAGCAAGAGGAGAGCTATGCCATTACTCTTTACTTGGATGCAATACCGCTTGCTAGCTGGCTAACAGGAGTATTGATATGCTCTACAAGAGGATGATACAATCTGAAGTCTTTGTTGTGGTAAATAAATTTATTGGGTCGTACATGGGGCCTTTAATTTGGTTTATATTAATGCATAGTTATCCATTAACCACTTGAGCTCCAGAGGATTTTACCCCCCTTCATGACCAGGCCATTTTTTTTTGCTCTTCAGCACTGTGCTACTTTAACTGGAAATTGCACGGTCATGCAATGCTGTATCCAAATTAAATGTATGTAATTTTTTTCACACAAACAGAGCTTTCTTTTGGTGGTATATGATCACTACTGGGTTTTTTATTTTTTTATATAAACTGGAAAAGGCAGAAAATTAAAAGAGAAAAAAAAATTCTTTTTGCTTTTTGCAACAAAACATATCCCTTAAAAAAATTTAATTTTGGCCAAAATGTATTCTATGTCTTTTGGTAAAAAAAAAAAAAATCCCAATGAATGGATACTAATTGGTTTGTGTGAAAGTTTTACTATCTATAAACGATGGGATATATACTGGAATTTTTTAATACTAGTGATGTTGGCGATCAGTGTGGGACTGTAATAGTGCGGCAGGCAATCGGACACTAACTGATACTTTGTGGGAACTGACTAACTGCCACTGACATCTTCAGTGACGTGAATACAGTGATCAGAGCTAATAATATACACCGTCACTGTACTAATGACACTGGCTGGGAAGGGATTAACATTTGGGGAAATCAAAGGGTTAACTGTTTGCCTAACAATGTGTAATGTGTTTACTGTGTGCTGTTTTCACTAAGCAATGTGCTAGTTTTTACTCTCTGCTCTGCAGGGAGAAATAAAATGGCATAATGCTGCTGTCAGTACCAACACAGAGTTCTCTCCTATCATTCTGTCCACCGATCAGTGGGTCCCAGCCATAAATCGTTGGCTGGGGCCCGCTGATTGGCATGTGCTGGAGAGAATGGCAACACAGCATGCTCGTGCACCCTACCGGGAAGAGCCAGATCATGTACGTGTTTCGGCACAGCAGGGCCACTCTGCCGCAGTAAATCCAATTAAAGTGACTTGTGCTTACATTTAATAATGTTACTTAATATTCCCCAATATTGGAAGCACTGTAAGGTGAATTTAATGTTCAATGTTCCTAGGAATATTGCGGTTTGCAGTAGTACCTATGCAGTACTTCATATAAATTTGTATATGCACGGAGTTGGGCGTGCACTCCCTCCTCATGTCACATGACACTGCTCAGGACAGGCATAATGTGCACATGGTGGAGACAGGTAGCATGCATCCTATCCTTATACCCTGGAAGTCAGCAATGCCACTAGAAGGGCGAGGGCACGGAATGAAGAGGTACGTTCATGCATTTTATAGTCTACACTGTCCTGAAGGAAAGACCAGTTTATTAACTTTAGAGGAAACGTTTTCTGAATAGGCAATCTATTTTTAAACTAGAATTACAGCCAGAACTATTTTTTTTTTTTTTTTTTTTTTTTTTTTTTTTTTTTTTTTTTTTTTTGTACATTCTGGATATAGCAAAGAAGGGGGGAAAATCCCATGTCGACTAGTTGTTTGTGTGTCAG